TTGGTTGGTGGAGGATGGGAGAGGGACAGATGGGAGGCTGGAGTGGATTATTTATGTGTGTGGCAGGGCCTTTACTGAGAGGCGGCTGCAGGCAGACTGAGAAGAAGACTATAGCCAGGGGGGGTGGTATGTAGTAGTAGTATGGCGAAGAAGGATGAGATGAAAGGATGTATGGGCAATCGGTTATTATGCATGGCACATCAGAAGAAGGCTGAGTGTGTACAGTCCTGGCTTCAAGGGGACTCAACTCATCTGATCAACTCAACTCATCTCAATCGACCTCATCATCATCAATCAGTCTCCTCCTCAACTAATCAACTGGCCTACTCAAGAACTCGGCATAAGACTTAAAGCGCATGTTATTACATAAACCCTTCGTAGATAAAGACGTAATCCTTCACTGTGGCAACGACCCGAAAAAAAAATATAACACCCCAATGATGCAGGCAAAAACTAATCATCTCACCTCATCAACTCTTGTTGGACAGTCGACCGACCAAAAAAAACCCGGCCGCGCTCCGCCGCTACGGAGCTCCAACTGAGCCATCTCACTCGGCCTCATCAAAACGTCCCTTTAAACATCTACGCTGCTCATGGCTGACAGTTTTGAGTCTGCCATCCATCACACGCCCAAAAATTTATTCTCCACCACTCCAGCTCATCATCGTCTACTAGAGCCCACCCGCGCCTAATTTTGGGGCATTGTTTGCCATCTTGTAACAAAACAGACCAAGCACTTGACTTGTAATACATATGACTGCCCGATACTTACATACAAATAAACTGACCCGATTGAGGAATGTGGTGGCTGTCCTACAAAGCCCCCCCCCCCCCTCCGAGTGGCGAGGTGTGGCGGATGAAGAAGGATTCAATCGACTTCTTACGGAAGCCCACAGGGGACACCGATCAGCTCATCATTTCGAAAAATGAAAAATGACTTTTTGAAAATACAGAATTCTGTATTCCATTTAAAATACAGATTTCTGTATTTCCACATTCCAAAATGTAAAAAAAAACTTTGATTAATACATGTCGGAAATGCATAATCACATATTGAAAACATATAGTCGTGTACTGCCATTGGTTCCTTCCCAATCCCCATCTCATCCTATGATCCTGGCCAACCATTACTGCATCAGCTCTGAAAGGTCCAACTTCCGGGCGGAAGCTGATTCAAGACCTGCAAATTGAAATAGGCTGTCTCCAAGGTGAGGACCCACTTCATTGAACCAGCCATTGAAGTCGGTGCACACTCCCTTCAATGACCAAGTCTGACCGGCGGTCAATGGGAGTACACATGCAGCCGCCTTCAATGATCTCAGACTCGGTGATCAAGGGGAAATCATCACTCCCTTTAGATCACCGGTCAGAATCTGTCATTGAAGGCAGTGTGTAAGCCCCTCAATGAATGACCGGTCCTGACCGGTCATTGGTGGGAACATAACCAGTCCCCTCCCTCCAATGACCGGTGTGTGGTGTCTTTTTTTCTTGACGAGCCATTCAGAATTGGTTATCAAATTGAATGAGAACTCCTCACGATGACCGTTCAGAACAGGTCATCAAGGCAAGTAAGTATTCCCCTTCATGACCGGTTCTGAGTGGTCATCGTGGGGAATACTTCCTCGCCTCTGAACGGTCATCGAGAGTGGATACTCCTCTCAACGACTAGTTCTGACCAGTCCTCAAGGGAGTGCTCATTCCCTTTGATGACCAGTCAGCTCTGATTAGTTGGAGACCGGAGCGGACACTCCTTGACCGCTGACAGCAGGTCGTTCTGTGTATCGGTCCAAGATCATCCACCTTGACTTTCCTGGAGGGCAAAGATTAAGTAGGTATTTTGCTCCTCCTCTACTACCTTTCCTGGACCAATCAACCAGCATCGGTCCAGGAGGCTTTAACCTCCCGGGCCGGTCCGGGATCGTTGACCGTTGTGTTGACATTTTTTATGTGCTGTTTCTGTTATGCACTTCTGATTTGGCTTATTTGGTAGTGATGTTTCACATTTTGGAATGTGGAAATACAGAAATCTGTATTTTAAATGGAATACAGAATTCTGTATTTTCAAAAAGTCATTTTTCATTTTTCGAAATGATGAGCTGATCGGTGTCCCCTGTGGGCTTCCGTAACTTCTTCTAGCGGCCTAGCCTATCAATGGTGTTAAAGGGTGGTGTTTTGAGGGGTCGAGTTTGGCCCGGAATCTGCGTCTTTTCACCGCAAATGAACCGGCTCTCCTTGATACAGATCAACCCCTCCAATCATCATCATTTGTGTCCTCGCAGGTACTGTAAAATATTGGGACTGACACTGGTTTCGTTTTGTAGCTTGGCTTCTGACGTCCTTGCTCGTGTCTCTCCAATCCATCGACCGATCGACCGCTTCATACTGGTTTCTTTGGATCTCCTCATCAGGTCCCCCATAATTCCTCCAGTGGGTGAAATCAGTACATAACACACCATTTGCGGTCGATCCCCGCTCCCGACACCCACCATGGGCTCCATCCTTGATGGGCCTTATATGTAATTACACAAATAATTCCAAATGATCAAACCTTTGTTTGATCTCTACCATCTAGTAAAGTTAAACTGAGAGGAATAATGGGAATTCCATAAAGCTTGAGCGCAACTTTATGAAAAACCAAAGAGTAGAATTCACAAAAGTAAAAGATGAGAGCTCATGAGCCTCAAAGGGGAAAAAGAAACTATGTAGAGTGAACTGAAAAGATCAGTTGATTGCAGTCATACCACATCCTTCAATCAGTCCTTGTTCCAATATTTGCATCTGGAACAGTAGTACAGTGATTGCTCAGGCTGTTGAGAAGTTTATACACTGATTGACTGGTAAGGTATTCGCGTGTCTGCTGAGAATTTCATTTAATGATCCCTGCAACCAATAATATTCTAATCTTCCAGGAAGCTTATAACATTCTCTATGCACGTACTTCATTTTTCAGGCTCATCTGAATGACCAATTGCTAAAGTAAATTATTGCGTTTTTGCAGAAATGCTTGGAAACCAAACCGAGATCCAATCTGGATGAGATTGAGATGAAATAATTATGAGAATTTCATGAGGTGTCTTTCAATTGGCAAGTTGGGAAGAGTTTGAAACTCGAATGAGAGACAAGAATTAAGGGTCTGCCTTTTTGCACACAGAAGATTTCCCCTGCACATGCCCAAGAAGGTGTTCTTGAAGTGCACACTAGGGTTCTGACAACGGTGGGCCGCTACACTAACCGTAGCGGTTAGTGTAGCGTAACGCAGCAAAATTGCTGTTAGCGCTTAGCGTAGCGTAGCGGGATTCCGCCACGACACCGCTAACGCTACGCATGTGGGCCCCAAAAAAGGGCCCACTATGCTGCGCTACAGCGCTTTTTAGCGGTTTTTGGCCGCTTTTTCCACTAAAAGCACTGTAGCGCAGCGTAGCGTAGCAAAAAACCGCTAAAAAACCGCTAACACTACGGTTTTTGGATGAAAAAAAGCGCCGCTATGCTATGTTTTTTGGGCCAAAAGCGTAGCGTAGCGGCCCACCTCTGGTTCTGATGCAGTGCCTGATCAAATCCGGGTTTCACACCTCACAAAGCCCAACCCAATAGGTATCCAGCCTCGCACCAGGTTCTTCCAGATCTTTCACATAATTTTTTTTATGCATATCTTGCTGTATCACACCAAAAGAAGGGGGTCAAGCAAGAAAAGTCACAGTTAAAAGCTAACCTCATCTGGGGTGTACCAGGCAACAGTGCAACAGATACAAGACATGTATTGGTATTGGATTGTATTGTCTTTATTTTGAGCCTGATACCGGTATCAGTATTTCCTTGGTTGGTGAGAAAATCCATTGTCTTGGATTTGGATTTACGATTTACAAATGAAAAAAAAAAAAAATCGTCTTTGTTTTTTTTCTTCAATACGGCCAAATATCTTGTGTATCAAAGACGTGTTTGGTGGGATCAGTCATCTGAGACGATACTGAATACTTGTCTCACTTTCCAAAGACAATACGTGTGTATTGTCTCATGAAAGTGAGACAACACAAACATGGTATTTTTGTGTATTCAAATTCTGAGATAATGCAACTAAACGCCTGATGCCATCTTGTCTCATCTCTGTTGCACCATTGTACCAGGGCATTCCCTGTCAAACCCACCAAGGATTGGGGCTAATCAGCATCCGACCGGATGGTGAATCTCCCAAATCCAATCCCAAGCCCTGGTCCAGTCCGCGGGTTGAGCGGGTTATGCGCGGGTTGAGCAGATTATGCCAGATTTTCAGGGTCCAGGTCGGAAGCCTATCACATACAAAATAGAGATGCCAATTGTCACCTGGAAGGTACCCCCCACACTTTTGGAAGGTTCCCTGGACACTTCTAGTGGCCAGCTGTGAAGGTGGAGCGTGTAGAACTGATTCTTTGACAGTAATACACCCTTCACATGCACAGTTGGTGGCTGGCTGGTGTCCAGGGAATTGTTTAAAGTTTGCCAGGTGCCAAGTGACATCTCTAACCCAAAAGGGGGAAAACTTGATTATTTTGGAGTACATGGTTGTGCACTCCAAAGAATCTGGAGTGCACAGCTTTTTGTTGAGACAGACAGGGGAGAGAATGGCTGAAGTTCATAGACCTTACTTCTTGTGACACTTGAGGAGTGAGAAAGAAAATGTTTGGTTCTGATTCACTAAGGAAGAAACTGCTAGACTAATCCTGAGAGGTGTTGCGGTGAACTGGAGCCTGGAGCCAACAGAGTGGGAAAGGATGAGGAAAGAGAGATCCTTCCCAACACCCTTGTCTCCAGCATAAGAGCAAAAGAGAAACAAGACACATGTCACAGATTGTGACATCTGAGAAATGAGAAAGGAGGAAGAAGCACAAACAACAATGTACACCACGGGTTGAGTTTTGGAAATGGCACTCCGTCGGCTTGACCCCGCGGTCAAGCACCGGTCAGCCTTAACCTCTTTTACGCAATCCCGCCGGATTGGTCTGGCCAACGTCAAGTTTGGGCAGGAATGCCGCAATTTCAACGTTGGCTTGACCTCAGGGTCAAAAAGTCCCACCGTCGGCTTGACCCCATGTCTGAAAGTGAAGAAAAAAAAACTTTTTTTTTCAAGATTTTTTCTACATCCTTTTCATGTCTAAAAAGTTGTGGCCGCCTCAAGAAAAAAAAAAGGAGAAAAAAAAAACTTGGAGAAAAAAAACTTGGAGAAAAAAACTTCAAGACAAAAAAATCTTATAGGTAATTTGAAAGTTTATATCTAATTCTGTGAAAAACAAAGCCAGACTAGTATGCCAGCATGATTGCCATAGTTGGATAGGCCCTCCTGACACATCATCATGCATTGAGCTGAAGATGGTGTGAGTACAGGTAGGGAGTTCAAGCCCCAAGATACATAAGTTTTTTTTTTTTCTTACTGCAGTCAGCTGCTGCGCAGCAACTGTCAAGATGACATAATCCTGTCAAGCCGCCGCAAGCTTGCCTTGCAACCGCTGGAAAGCCGACGTTGAATGGTCAAGCCGACTGCGGGGGATTACACCCCCCGCTATGAAGCACCCCAAATTATTGGTCGGGGCGGCATGGGTCAAGCTGACGGAACCGCTTCCGTCAAGCACTCGTCCACCAGAGCCCGTGGTGTAGCTATGGTGACATAGATAAACCTGTGACATGAATAGCTCAACAAGAGGAACTAAATACAGGATTTTTCTTGTGGTTTGTTTGAAGCATACTATGGTATAAGCATATAATCTAACACTTTTCACTCCTGTAAATCTTGGAGTGTATGGTATACCCATGCACTCCAGTGTTTTTGCTTCCCAGGGATTTATAGGGTTGCAAATCCTGATTGCTCCAAATTATTTGGAGTGTTTCCTTGGACCCCCAGGCTGATATCATACACAATTCATGGCCGTTTTGATCCATGGCACTCAACAGAAAAAAAGATTGTTTTGTAATTTTTGAAATCAAGCCATAAGGGCCTGATGAACAGACAGAAAGAGAGAATTCTCATTTACTTTTTTGGAATTCACAATCACCTGCTTATAGAAACTCAGGCCCTTCTTGTGTGATATCAGCCTGTGGGTCCAAGAAAAGAATTCAAATTTTTGGAGTGAAGCTCTTTGCACTGCAAATAATTTGGAGTGATCAGGATTTGCACCCCTGGAAGGGGAAGTCAAAACACTGGGAAGGGGAAGTCAAAACCCTGGATTGCATGGGTATGTACTCCAATATTTACAGGAGTGCAAAGCTGTGCACTCCAGATTCTTCAGAGTGCGCAACCTGCATGCACTCCAAAATAAACAAGTTTTCCCCTTTTTGGTGTGCAATCTAAAAAACTTTGGAGTGCATGGTAGTGCACTCCACAAGTCCTTGGAGTGTACACCTTTTTGGTGCATGCAGGGCAAATATTTGGTGTGCAAAAAGGCAGACCCAACAGAAAAGAAAAAAGAAAAGAAAAAAACATTGTAATTTTAACTGCAGAGGTAGGCAGATCATGTCAAAAGGAGAAAAAAAGATTATACAACATCTTCTAGTGCAGGTGATTTTACACCATTCAAGTGAGTAGTCTCTTGCCCTAAAAAACAGATCCTTGCATGGCCATTGGTAAATTTTTTGGTCTTTGATGAGAGTTCCTTAATCTGTAACCTCTCATCCTGCGGGTTCACAAACCTATCACACTGGATTTCATAGTCATCAATCTTGACTCAACTCTTAGGCCCTGTTTGGCCATCCGTAATTTGTAATTTAGAGGCAAGGTTTTGGCAGGATTTTGTTCAAAAAATTTATATTGTTTTATATTGCACGGTCCAAATCTGTGCCAAACCTTATCCAAATCACAAATCATGATTTATGGCCAAACAAGGCCTTATACTCATCACCTCCCTGCCTTCCTAGGTTGGTAGAGATTCGACATCAACCTATATTGAGCTAGGTAAGATAACCACTTCTCTTCTTCTTTCATCTTTTCTTAATTCTATTTCATTTCCTTCTTTGTTTCTTTCTCATCTATTTTCAACTGTTTATACATGGATTGGTAGTGCAGAGCTAGCATGTAGCTCTTATATAATCCTCCTGCAGTGTTTTTTTCAGTCTCAGTCACAAATTTCATTCAATCACTTCTTAGTGACATGTGCTTGCTGTAGGCAAAAGAGATCTGTGTGTATTGACATCAAACCAGAAAGAACAAGTTTGACAGCTTCCTTATTGAAAGGGATGCCACAATCATCAATTTTGTAATTTGAGATGTCCAGTACAGTCTGGTTTCCACATCTTTTCACTTTAAAATAGTCAGTCTGGTTTTATCCTTGAATCTTATAACTGATTGTATGTGTGTGATCCTCATCTAGGCTCAGGATGAAAGTGGGTCGGGTTGACCTGGAAGTGACCCGTGACCCGTCGGGTCTTGGGGTGGGTTCGGGTCAGCTTTATGTTAAAAAAAACTTTATCTGACCAACAATGAAACTGATGCGATGCATGCATAGGTATCACATCGTATCGGGCCTTTATCGCATTGCATTGCAAGAGCGATGCGGGGCCCCGCATCGCATCGCTTGCATCGGATTCTTCGATACAGTGTATCAGTATCGCATCGGCAAAGCGATGCACCATAATTTGGTGGCATCGGTTTGCATTGCTTTCCAATACGATGCTGATGCAATGCAATGCATCGCTTTTTGGATGCGATACCGATACATGGCTATTTATCGCATCGCATTGCATCGTTTCACCGTTGATCTGACCCAACCCGAGTGTGACCCGCTTGATTACCGGGTCGGGTTCAGGCAGCAAGTTTTGATTTCAGGTCGGCCCAAAAACCCGACTACCGACCCGCTTAAGGGAAGTCAGGGACTCTGGTGACCTCTGGTCTGTGGGTCGCCAACCAAATTCAGGATCCTCGTGAGTTGCCGCTTGGAAATCTTTCTTTGACTGGTCATCAATACGAGACTACGACTCACAAACAATCTTTGAAGGATGCTTAGCCTTTGATCGCATCCTCGTAGGCTTGTAGGCTTGTACGCCATTGGCATCCCATTGACCTCAGGAATCAGGATCGTACAATTGAATAAAATAAAATACATGATAGGTTACAAAAATTGTTCTTTTTCTATATCTATTGCTTAGACATGTAAATATGCTCTAAAAACCTGCCCCAAGCCTGACCCGGAAAGTGACCCGCAACCCAACCCGACCCTACCCTGACCCGCCTGCTCCCCTAGGTGGGTCGGGTTCGGGCAGCAATATTGACTGTATGACCCGACCCGACCCAACCCGACACTTTTGCCGGGTCGGGTCTGGGCACTGTTTTTCGACCCGAACCCGACCCGGTTTCATCCTGAAATTCTAGGCTGATTCTGAGACTTTAAATATGCCTTTGGGCTCATTTTCACCATGCCCCTATAGTCCAGTTGGGTATTCAAGCCATTCAGAACTCTTTCACCTCACAAATAAATACTGAAGTCTTCTGTTCAAACCCCACCACACTCAAATTAATCTCAAGAATCCTTTCAAATGATGTGTCTCATTGGGATGATAGTATTGGTGGTATTGGAACTCATCATTGGTGTCTCTGCAACCTGGCACAGAGATGACTGCCAGCTCAATAACCTCCTGTGGCAAGTTAACTCTTCCACTGAGAGGGTAAGCCTAATATGCACTACTTGTAATGGTCAAGGCATGGAATTTGAAGCTTCTGTCTGCCTAAACCCTAAATGCAGGAAACGTGGGAGCCCACTCACAGAATACTTGAACCGTCCATGCTACAGATGTGGGAATGAAATCTTGTATGGATTCCATGTGCTGACTTGCAGGTTCTGCAAGCAAGTCAAAAATGATTATACATTCTGGATACCAAAGATTCAATGCAACCAGTGTGGTGCTCCCGCTCCTCCCATGGCAAGAATAAATGACTTATGAAGCTCACAAAGAACTGGGATTACTTGTCTCAATATTTGTTCAAGAAAACAGAAATTCAACCCCCCCCAAAAAAAAAACATAAAAAACCACTTAAAAACCCTAATCCAAAAGAAGAGAAAAAAAATGTAACATTCCCCCTTGAAAACATAAAAAAAAAAGGCAAATTCCAACCTTCTTTGTTCTCAAGAAAAAAGTTCTACAAAATTAAAAAAAAAGGGTGTTTAGCTACACACCAAAATTTTAGCAATCCCCTGCCAAAAATTTGGTGTGATGCCCAAACACCAACATAGCACTGTCAATTTAGATTTCTCTTTAATTGACTTGACAGGTGGTTTCTGATTGTAACTGAAAGATCTCACTTCTGAAGGAAAGAACATGGAAAGAGTGTTGGACTTGAATGGGGTGGGATTGTACAAAATTTGGGACAGCTTCACAATCCGATGTTTGCTTATCCAGAAGCTCCTTGTATACTCAATTCTTGTGATTCTGGAGTCTGGACAACTTGCTGGAGGATGTGTGCCTCGTTGATGGACGGTATTTACCAGTCTTTCGTAGGGAAACCACGGAAGATCGATTAGTCTGTCTCCCATCTTGACATGCTCAACCTAGTCTATACGGCCTACCTCTCCGAAGGTATAGGGGTGCATATGCTCGTGGAGGGGTCACTTTCGCCCGCCTCTCCATTTTTTTTGGATGGGCCAATCAGGTGAATCTCGCCGACCCCTATCTCTCATCTTCTCGTGCCACTTGACAAAAACCCGATTTCACGTGGCCAGAAATGATGCCGAAGTGCGATGTCAATATATGCCGAAAAGCCTCTCGCATGTTCATGTGGGCATGCGGGCACGCGGTCGAGCGAGGAAAGCTCCGACGGGGAGACGGGGATGTCCGACCGGGGGTCCCGCCCTGCTTTGATACTTAAAATCTTGTATGTACCCAACTGTGCACCTGAGCTTCATATCCACCTGTTTTAATTTTTGGGGGGTTCATTTGCGACGATGACAGACGAGCTGGAAGGCCATGATCAAGAACAGATCGCATTGATGGAAGAGAGATTGATTCTTCTAGACCGGGACGATAACGCTATCGGAGAGGAAAGCAAAAAAACTTGCAAGTCTTCTCACCCCTTTTTTTATTTAAATTTAAATATTTATTTTGCTTTCAACTCAAATAAGGGACGTCAAAGTGCTGATTCTCATAATGTGGTTGATCTCTCATTCAGGCCATTTGATGACCAACATCTTACCACCACGTTCATTGCTACATCGTGCATTTTCTTGCTTCCTCTTTCGACCCTCCGATGGCAAACTTTTACTGCAGAAGAGGGCAGCCGAAAAGATCACTTTCCCGAGCCTGTGGACCAATACCTGCTGCAGTCATCCACTGGCAAAGGAAGACGAGATGGATCTGACGGATCATATCGGTGAGTCAATCTCTCGTTATTTTTTGTTTGTCCTTTGGTTATGCTTCTTCCTTACACAGTTCCCCATCCTTTTCGATCATTTTTCTTTTCATTTTTTCGTGTCCCTTTGTCTTGTTTTTGTTTAGGTGTTCGACGGGCAGCTCAAAGGAAATTGAATCATGAACTTGGAATTGATGCCGCACAGATACCTGTCTCAGATTTCGTTTATCTTACTCGAATTCATTATTTGGCTCCTAGTGATGGACTATGGGGAGAACATGAAAGTACGAACCCATCCTTGTTTTTCTTTTTCTCTTATTACCTCCACTCAGAGTTCTACAAGATAAAACCCCATCATATCATTTCTCTATATCGTTCGGCCAGCGATGGATGTGCTAATGTGATTGACTGTTGTTAACTCCACCGTCTTTAAAATCAAAGTTGACTATATCCTATTTTTGACTGCTGATGTGGACTTGAATGTAAATCCAAACGAGTGTTCAGACGTAACGTGGGTATCCCCCAACGAACTGAAGACAATGATAGCCGATCCAAGTTGAGTGTTCATCATAAGATTCCCAGTCGAATCATCGATTCTATTCAAAACTAACCACTGCCATGCTGTTCTGCTATGCTTCGACCCCGCCAAAAAACGATATGAAGGTAATCATTTCACTCCTTGGTTCAAACTGATTGTGGATCGGTTTTTGTTCCCTTGGTGGAACGATCTTCTAGACCGATCGAAAGACAAGCTCGTCAATGCCCACTTAATCGCCGACGCTAAAGACAATACCATCCATCGAATGAGCTCTTGATTTGTTACCCATCTGTGGGAGCCAACCATAACCCTCTGCCCCTCTCTACATATTCTTTCAATAGGATTGTTCAGATTAATTACCCTGATTTGTTAAATAATTCTCACATTGCGGCTTGACTATCATTGAGAATTGGCAAGCTGAGCACATGCTGTCAGTTTACTGTGGTGTACTTCCCGGAGCCCCATGAGAGCTTCGACGCTTGAGTCGATGTATATATAGCCCGACACCAGGTCATGGCTTGACACTGGTCAATGAGGAGGCTGACTGCAGGCTTAGCACAGCCTAATAACAGCGCTTCTTGAATTAACTAGGTTATGGCTTAGTCAGCAAGCGCTTAAGCTTTATGGTCCTCTTGTGACCTTGTCAGCCGGACAGTACCAGAAAGAGGTTGACCAAGTGACAGACAATGAAGTCTAGCTCCATGATCATAAGCGGAGCCTGGGCACACTTTTGCTGCATAAGATCGGATGAGAAGGCCCTCCACCCAGGGTGCGACTCCCAGCTGAGTACAATGCCAAATCAAGGGAAGACAATGTGCAGCCGATTCAACAGCTAGGAAATTTTGGTGGTGGCTCACTTGCTGTTCACATGTTGTTTTCACACGAACCAAATGTGGCTACATGGAGTGACTATAACGCGCAGTGGGGTCACTGGAACTCACTGATTGCCTAGAGGTTTGAGAGCCTTATAATGACCATCCTCTGCACCAAATTTCCAGCGAAAGCTCTCTGACCTGAGTCTCATTGGGCCACACATCCCCCCCTCCCCCGAGTCACACCACATCGCACAAACCAGAATGATCAACAATCCAAATATCTAAATTCCTTATTTGAGAGGAGGCGGTAAAGCATAAATTAAATTCTGGTGTGAAGGATTTTGCGAATACACAAGCGTAGACGCCCTCATAATCCAGTGAGAAAGAAAACGGTCTGGTCGGCTCATTGCTGCAGAATGCCCCTGACGAATTTCTCGTAGTCGATTCTGCCATCACTGCAATCGGTATCAGCACGAGTTTAGTTAGTAAGATACTCTGAGGCTGGAGCCGCTGGGATTGAGAGCAGCTTCCAAAAGTAATGACCTAGATGGTACTACCCTCTGATGGATAGAGACTTGCAAGACAAAAAAAAGATAAAACAAAGACGTACCTTTCGATCTGGACGCCTTTCATCAGCTCGTCGACCTCTTCATCACTGAGCTTCTCTCCCAAGCTGGTCAACACGTATCGGAGTTCGCCAGCTGCGATGTATCCGTTACCGTCCTTATCGAACACACGGAAGCCTCGTATAAAGTCTTCGGCCGTTCCCGCAGGCGAAAATCCTCCCGGTCGATTGAGGATAGCGGAGAAAGTGGCAAAGTCGACTGAAGTAGGTTCCAAAAGTGTTAGAGGTCCATATACAGCCGATTGACGAATGAGATATAATAAGCATAGTTTTTATGTATCGAAGGTTCAGACTGACTATCACGGGGCGCGCTAGCGGCGAGTTCGGCCACCTCGGCTTGAGTCGGATTCTGGCCCAGGGCTCGGAGCAGATCACCCAAGCTTTCTCGACTGATGGTTCCGGTACCCTTTTTATCAAACAGGGCAAAAGCTTCTTTGGTTTCTGTGAGCAGGAGTATTGTTGGGTTAATGAAACCGTCAGTTTGGGCTTGATTGTCTGTGTTTCCCCAGATTTCGAGAAAAGACAAACCAGCTTCGGATGCAGGCTACACACTCGCTCAAAAGATTGCCGCGTTTGATGAGCATACAAAAATAGGGATAAGGGGGAGGAAGAATGACGTCAGTTCCAGAGACAGACAACGAAATTGTACATATTCATTCAAACCAAGGTGAGGATCAGCTGACCATGTTGATTATCCGATAAACGTGTGGGGTTAGGTGGGATCTTGGTGTGGGGGATTTTTCTAGATGAAGGAGATAGCAAAGGTGAAGTGGTTGGTAAGATGGTCAAAGGCATCCTTCAGCATTCTGGATTATCTACCAGTGCACTCGAGTCCAATCCGACGCCAGGGAGCCTCGATGAACCGAAGAAGCCACACCCAAGCTCAGGCTCAGCGGAGAAACACACCTAAAAAGGATCCTATCGACGTCGCTCATAACCTCAGCTTACTCAATTTCCCCAATGACGTCGGTCATCCATCATCATCATCATCGTCATCTTGCACAAAATGGGATTTTAGACAAGAATGACATCATCCCAACAATTTATTCTGTCCTTGATGAAACAGAATGAAACACAACTCAGACAGTCCAGCCATTAGCAAAGCAATACATATCATTGGAGTCTGCATTTACAATCATGATCGAGCTTGTACAGCCTCTCCGTCGAACGCACGAAGTGCGGGAGAGGCTTGAGCCCAAAACAAACACGACTGGGTGTCACAGTTGAGTTTTTTGGCTGTTTTTTGCGCCAAAAATCATAGAAAATCCAGCTTTTGGATTTCTCGAAAGCTGAGATGGAGTGAAGATGCCCAACATGGAGGTCTTGACTTCTATCAAGAAACTTTTGGGAAAAAATGAAAACTACACAGTTGAAAAATTTTAAAGGAAAATTTGCCCAATGGCAAATTGGCTGAGCTTACATAAGCCAGTTTCAATCTCACTGCCTACCATGTGAGAACATTTTCTCAATTTGACCAACTTAAAAAAGATCCACCTCATCCAATTTTCAAGATGAAGTTCTGAAAATTGGATGAGGTGAGAGGCATCACCAAGCACCAAAAGCTTGTCTACTCAAATTGCCAATAGCTGGTGATGTAAATGCTGTACATCCAGCTCAATGTGTGTTACACCAAAAGTGCCCAACCGTGACACGCAGGCCTGTTCGTGTTTGTCTTAAGTCCCTCCTTCGGAGGCTCGCGCTTCGCGCGAGTGGCGTTCCACACCAGCCAAGGCCACCAGGCCCTCCAAAGCGAGGGACTTTGATAAGTTCGAATCATGATCTGATGTGCACAAAGGTGGATCCATGCCTATTTTTCAGCATGATAAACATTGTCACTTACAATCATCTTGGATTGGGCAGTTTGTAAGCAACAAGTGGGATGAGAGGAGAAATACCATAATGGATAATAATGAGGACATCATTGCTTGTCCTGAAATGAACCAGGGCAGAAGGAGAATTGAGTTAACAGGGCTGGCGCAGAAGTTGCATAATTGAGCAAGGAAAGGGTGGTTCATAATTCCAAGAAATTAATTGCATTCTCAAAACAATTCAACATGAGAGAAATTGTATCTAAGATTGAAGATTTACAAATTATGGTATAAAAAGTTTGGTTTGCCTGCAGTCAAATGTGTTGAGTAAAGGAAGGATTACAAGATTATATAAGACTACACACCACTTCTAATTTAGCAAAGAATATTTGAGATCAGTTTTTTATTCCCCACAGACGTTGAACTGAATCTGACTTGCATTAAAGTTCTTCATCCCTTGGGAATGGGAAGGGGACAAGCTTTGTTGATCTAGCTTCCATCTGTTTGTCCAAAATACCTACCAAAGAATCAATCATCAGCCATGCAGACCAACCACTTGATTATGAGAGTTGACCCTGCTGACCTACCTGGGTGAGCTTGAAAGCTGAGTTTTACCTGTGTTGAAAGTCAGCAGCTTGGTCAATCAATCCAGCCTGTTGTGTGGAGATATGTATACACCCCAGGGGCACTTCCTGCCACACAGGAGTGTGGAGCCAAAACAGTACAGCCAATCTGCAAAACCCCTAAGATTGGTTCTGTAAGGTTGGATTTTGTCATCAGTTTGATAAACCAAGTGTTTTTTTGTTGATGGTTCTACAAAACCACATTCAGTGCTGGGCTGCTACACTAACTGCAGCGGTTAGTGTAGCCGTAATGTAGCGGAATTCCACCACACCACATATAGCAGGGCACATCAGCTTGTCCTCAAGCTTTTGGTTGAGCCTGCTTGCCCAACCCCCCCCCCCCAAAAAAAAATGGTGCACCTGATTGTGGGTGGGGTCTGATGCTGCGGTTGGCTTGACCTGAAATGTGGGCCCAGTGTGGCAGTTCCTGGTTAAAGGTGTAACCCGAACGGCCCCACCTGGGTGTTTTCATGGGTGGTGCCACCCGGGTGTCGGTCCTTGGGATGGGTCTCTGGAACCACCTGAACACCCGGGTGGTTGTGCATTATAGGTTGGGGGGAGGAAAGAGCTTTTTGCGGCTCCGACTGGATGTTGTATAGTGTGGTGAATTACCTGTGTAGGTCTGGGTGAGGAATGAGCTTTTTTCCGCTTGTTTTTTAGCTTGCAATTGTAAATGTTATGTAGTTGGGGGGGACGAGCTCGTTTTGGCTCCGACTTGGTTTCAGGTAGATAGCTTTCAAGAGTTGGATCTGGGGGGGGGGGTTGAGCTAGATTTTGCTTCCTCTTCATGATGCTGAACTCAGGGATCTGGAGGGTTAAATGAGGAAGGCAGTACTGGTAGGCTATTCCTCCTCGGACACTCCCCTGAAGTCACTCAAAAAAAAAAAAAAGACGGGTGGACCCGGGTCCACCCGATCAAACTCGGATACGGGCATCGGGATTGCCTTGACACCCCGCCCAAACACCCGGGTCACACCTTTATTCCTGGTTGGCTTGGTGGTGGTGTGTGTTCATAGTCCAACCTGCACGTCAGCAGCAAGACATGCATGTCAGAAAAAACACAGGCAAGGCTAGCTTTCCCAAAAGTTCATCCCCATGTGAGCGACTTCAACTCACATGGATGTCCAGCCACACTTGTCTGCAGAGGCAGGCACACTGCTTGGCAAGTGGCATCCTTAGCGGTTACACCATTCACCAAGACTATTGATGTGAGTACATATCCCATTGTCAAAGCTTCCAATTTCTTCTTTTTCATTAGGATTCTTCAGATTTTTTGTGAAGACCTTGCTTTTTTTCAAATTTGTACATATGTGTAGCCTTTTTCTAGCCAGCAAAAAAGGCTCACATGACAAAATTCCAAAATCATTTTTTTCTTGATTCATTTTCATCAACCTAGTAATCAAAGCAACCTGTTGTTGAGCCAAACCTATTGACAGATGGGGTGATGCCACTCGCGTGGACGAGGTTGGTCATCCCAACCCAAGCTCAACAAGGGCTCAACCAGCAGTCATTGCTGGCTTGCTGTTGGGGGCAAAAGCCTGTTGCAACCTAGTAATCAAAGCAACCTGTTGTTGAGCCAAACCTATTGACAGATGGGGTGATGCCACTCGCGTGGACGAGGTTGGTCATCCCAACCCAAGCTCAACAAGGGCTCAACCAGCAGTCATTGCTGGCTTGCTGTTGGGGGCAAAAGCCTGTTGGCTGAAAGTGAGCTGTCCACCCTGTATGGCTCAGTGGTCATAACACTGTCAACACCAGTATTATTGGCAGAGTTGGCTTGACCCCTTGAGTGATACAGGTATTGTTGAGGTGTCTGATAGTCTGCTACCATGATGTATCACTACATGTCGAACCATGAGCACTACCACCCAACAACCCTGGCAGTCACAAGCGTCTGTAGCCTAGTTGGTAAAGGCAGCACTCTAGTATGTGTCTCCAGCGTTAGCTGAGGTCGTGAGTTTGACTCTCACCA